ATCCCTGTAATTCAGAAATTGTCAGGTATGTGTTGGCTCCTCCTGGGTGCCAGGCATGGTGTTAGGTGCTGGGGCCACAGGGATGCATAATCCCTGCTTCATGCAACCGCATATCCAGGAGGGGAGGATGGAGATGAGAGCCAGAGCTCAGCCACGCAGGGACTGGCAAGTCAGACTAAGGAGCTCACCTCTGATGCCAGGAGCAGTGGAAAGCCATTGAAAGGTTTCCAGGAGGGGGGACATGATCATTCCAGCTGCTGAATGGATTGGAAGGAGGCGTGAGTAGCAGCAGACAGCTACCCCAGAGAGCTTTCTGAGAGACGGTGAGGATGGAGCGCAGTGGGCAGACGCAAGAGAGAATGAAGAGGTAGATGCTACAGGATGCGGAGAGAACTGGATGTGACTGTGAGAAGGTAGAAGACCAGGAAACTGAGAAGCAGAGGTCCAGCACCCTCAGAGAGCTGGTGGCTGAGCCAAGGCTGAGACCAGGCCAGGGTCTTTCCACAACCCTGTGTTTGAGACACGCCAATACCCAAGTGGAAACAGGCAGATGAGAAGCAGACAGTCTGGAGCCAGGAGGCCGGGATTTGGCCTTTTGGGCCTGCCTGTGACAGTGGAACCTAGAAGAGGCTGAGTTGTCCAAGAAAACAGTGTGAAGAAGAGACAGAACTTTGGCACACACCTGAGCCCGCACGTGGAAATGGAACCAGCAATGATCACAGCAGGGGACTTCCAATAGAGCCTTTGACAGACCACAGGTGTCACCACTGCAGGATCCTGGGTCTCTCCTTGCCTCTCTGAGCCTTGGCTTCCATGGCAGACAAACTCTCAGATGTTCCCACCTCCTGGTATCCCTGCCATTGTGTATCCCTCCCCTTGATTGTGGGCAGGACCAATGACTTGCTTCTAACCAGTAGCATATGGCAAAGTGGATGAGATGTCATTCTCATGACTTCCTTACATTATACAAGACTCCCCCTTGCTAGCCAGCTCACTCTAAAGGCTCTCCTTGCTGGCTTGGTGAAGCAAGCAACTGTGTTGGGCATGACGGTTCCTTTTATGTGTCAACTTGGCTAGGCTATGGCACCCAGCTGTTCAAACACTAATCTAGGTGTTACTGTGAAGGTATTTTGTAGATGTGGTTAATATTCACCATCAGTTGATTTTAAGTAGAGATTATCCTCAGTAAGGTGGGTGGCCTCACCCAATCAGTTGAAAAGCCTTAAGAACAAAATCAAGTTTCCCTGAGAAAGAAGAAATTCTGCCATAAGACTGCAGCGTTAGATCCTGTCTAAGAGGTTCCAGCCTGCTAGTTTGCCTGGACTTCAGACTTGTCCTCCTCTACAATCGTGTAAGCCAATTCCTAGGAATAAGTATCTCTGTGTGTGCATGCGTGCGTGTGTGTGTGTGTGTGTGTGTCCTACTGTTTCTCTGGAGGACCCTGACTGATACACTGGCAAAGCCCATGTGGAAAGGAACTGCCTTCAGCTGACAGCCAGCAAGAAGCCGGAACCCTCACTCCTATACCCAAACCTCCAGATGAGAACACAGTCTGGGCGACATCTTGAGTACAGGTGAAGAAGAGACAGAACTTTGGCACACACCTGAGCCCGCACGTGGAAATGGAACCAGCAATGATCACAGCAGGGGACTTCCAATAGAGCCTTTGACAGACCACAGGTGTCACCACTGCAGGATCCTGGGTCTCTCCTTACCTCTCTGAGCCTTGGCTTCCATGGCAGACAAACTCTCAGATGTTCCCACCTCCTGGTATCCCTGCCATTGTGTATCCCTCCCCTTGATTGTGGGCAGGACCAATGACTTGCTTCTAACCAGTAGCATATGGCAAAGTGGATGAGATGTCATTCTCATGAGTTCCTTACATTATACAAGACGCCCCCTTGCTAGCCAGCTCACTCTAAAGGCTCTCCTTGCTGGCTTGGTGAAGCAAGCAACCGTGTTGGGCATGACGGTTCCTTTTATTTGTGAACTTGGCTAGGCTATGGCACCCAGCTGTTCAAACAGTAATCGAGGTGTTACTGTGAAGGTATTTTGTAGATGTGGTTAATATTCACCATCAGTTGATTTTAAGTAGAGATTATCCTCAGTAAGGTGGGTGGGCCTCACCCAATCAGTTGAAAGGCCTTAAGAACAAAATCAAGTTTCCCTGAAAAAGAAGAAATTCTGCCATAAGACTGCAGCGTTAGATCCTGTCTAAGAGGTTCCAGCCTGCTAGTTTGCCTGGACTTCAGACTTGTCCTCCTCAACAATCGTGTAAGCCAATTCCTAGGAATAAGTGTCTCTGTGTGTGTATGTGCATGTGTGCGTGTGTGCATGTGTGTGTGTGTGTGTGTGTGTCCTACTGTTTCTCTGGAGGACCCTGACTGATACACTGGCAAAGCCCATGTGGAAAGGAACTGCCTTCAGCTGACAGCCAGCAAGAAGCCGGAACCCTCACTCCTATACCCAAACCTCCAGATGAGAACACAGTCTGGGCGACATCTTGAGTACAGCTTTGTGAGACCTTGAGTAGATCCAGCTAAACCATGACTGAACTTCTAACCCATAGAAACTATGAGATAATAAATGTATGTTGTTTTAAGTCATTAAGTTTGCAGTGATTTGTTATGCAGAAATAGAAAACTAACACACTTCTCCATCAGTAAAAGGAGTAGAATAATAGTAGTCATTTCACAAGGCCATTATGGAGCTTATGTGAGATAATCCAGAAGGGTGCAGGACACAGTGCCCCACAATATGGCACCTTGGAGGTTACTCTCTGACTTTCTCCGGCCTTTCTGTGTGAGAGCTGTCCATAAAAGAGTTCTTAGACCTACTTCCCCTGAAAGTAGGTCATAGACCCTCATGGGAGAGGTGTCCTTCCCTATACCAAGTGGGGCTGGGGTGGGGGAATGTCATACAGAAACAACAGAACCTGAAAAAACAGGCCTCGCTTGGTCTCCTCCCACCCCCCAGTTTATTACCATTAGATCATACCCCTTTTTGTCCAATCATGTTTCCCCACAACTATCACCCACTTCTTTCATCAGACTTAGCATAAAAATACAGTTTTCCCTGGGTCTTTGGGTCTTCATTTCTGAAGCCTCCTGTGTCACATAAAACTGTGGTTAAATAAATTTGTTATACTTTTCTCTTGTGAATCTGTCATTTGTTATAGCCTCATCAGCCATGAAGCCTGTGATGGGTGAGGAAAAGATATTAGTTTTGCTCCCTTACATGCATCATTAAATGTTAACCCTGATTTTTAAGAAATGATTTAGCAGTGGTCAGAGAATCAGAAACAGAGCTAGGAAGGTCTAGATTCGTGGAGGACCAGGACTCAGTATATCTCATGGAAGGGTGAAATGGCCTTGATTATTTCAGAGAAACAGGAGGCAGCATGGTGATTCAGTGCACACACTCTGGAGCCACACTGCCCAGTCATTCTGGTTCCTTCATATATTATCTTTGTCACATTAGGAAGGTGACTTATGCCTCTCTGTGCCTCAGTTTCCTTGTCTGTAAAATAATGTTAAGAATAGCACCTGACACATAGTAGGGCTATACAAGTGTTATATGCTATTATTACTATTTTCCTCTAACCCACAGTCCTACAACTCCAAAGGATTAGGAGGTGAAATCAGTTTAATATAGTACATGTTTATCTACACCACTGTAAGCAAATAAAGGTGAACCAGTAGGCAATTACACTTCAGAGGCCGTTCATCTTGCATAAGCTCCCTATACATTGCATGACCTCCCCAGGAATGTCTGGAGAATGGGAAAAAGCACATCCAGCACAGAACTTGCTCTGCATAGAATTTTGTCACCCCGAGACCCCAAATCCCAGCACTGCTCACTCCTGCTGTTGCTCTCTGACCCGCATGTCCAGCAGAGGGCGCTGTGGCTTCAAAATGCAAATCTCAGATGCTTTTCTCTCCACCGAGGCCTGCGCTGGGGAGGGAGGGTACGGCCGTGGGCAGTGGGCCGGACTCCAATCAGACCCTTTCTTCCAATAAGTCCCTTTTTATCAGCACTCAGCAAACTCCACATCACCCACTGCTCACTTTTCCAAACCTCACCCTGCTCTGTGAAGCATTTTCTGAAGGCTCCAAGCCCTCTAAACCTCCCTTCTTTGAACCCCAGAAACTTCATTTTAGCAATGAATCATCAGGCCTTATGCTGCTTGCTTTTTTACTGTTTCCAAATTCCATGGCGCACAGCTGTAAGCCTCTGTCTCGCCCTCCAAAGAGCCTTTTGCCAGCCACCCACAGCCTTCTCTTCAGTCCTTTTCCAACTTCTCCAGATAAAACTCACTCACCCTGCTCAGCTGAACTCTGCCTCAATCTACTGGAGGGCAAAGGAGTATTTCTTTCATTCAGTCTTTCAGCAGACAATTGTTTGGGGTCAAGGTTAGCATCATGCAGAAATGAAGACAGCTACTCGTCAGCAGCCCCCCCCCCAAAAAAAAGATAGCTAAACTTTATTGAGCACCTACTGTGTGCCAGGCATTGTTCTAAGCGATTCACATAATCCTTACAACAACTCTATCAAGGTTCTTAAGCCCATTTTACAGATGACATTGTTAAGGCACAGAGTGGTTAAGGGACATGTCTAAGGTCACACAGCTAGTGGTTGAGCCAGTATTCAAACCCAAGTAGTGATCACAAGATGTGATCTGGACTTTTAGTAAAGATGTGGGGCTCCATCTGTGTTCTCCAGAACTGCACTGTCCAATATAGGAGCTGCCACCCACATTTGACTATTGAGCACAAGACTAGTCCAAATTGAGATGTACTATAAGTGCAAACTAAACACTGAATCTGAAAGACTCAGTTTGAAAAAAATGTAAAATATGGTATTAATAATTTTTATATTGATTACATATGGAAATAATATTTGAGTCCATTGGGTTAAATAAAACGTTATTAAAATTAATTTAACCTTTTTTTTTTTTTTTTAGTTTTTTAAATGTGGCTACTAGAACTTTTTTTTTTTTTTTTTTTTTGGCACTGGCCAGTTCAGGGATCTGAACCCATGACCTTGGTGTTATAAAGCTGTGCTATAACCAACTGAGCTAACTGGCCAGCCCTACTAGAACATTTTAAATCACATACGTGGCTCAGCTCACATCCTATTTCTGTGGGGCAGAGCTGCTCTGGGAGCTCTCAGCTCAGTGGAAAGACAGGGTAATACAAATAATTCTAAAACAAGAGAAAATGTGGTTTGTGTTCTGAGAAGAGGGAACAAAGTGATATAGGAGCCCCGAGGTGGGAACTCCTGGGGGAGAGGGTGTCAAGGAAGCTTTCTCAGTGGAGGCAGGTTCCAGCTGGATTTCCAAAGGTGTGTAGGATCCGGTAGGGTCCTGCCCTGGTGAGAAAAGTCATGGGGACAGCAGACACCAAAGCATCAAAGGAGAGGGGATGGCAAGTCAAGCAGGAGGCTGGGGTGTCTAGTGTCCTGAGGATGAGGTGAGGGAGCCAGGGCCTGTGGACTTCAGATCATGGGGGCCTCCAGATGCCTCAGGTTGGGGTGGCCCTAGACGGACTGGGGAAATTGCCAGCTCAGGAATGGGAGAGAAGGGGGCAGTGAGCATCAGGGCCCCTGCCTCTTCTTTCCTCTGTCCCCAGACTCCCTCCCCTTCCCAGGTCCTCCCTCCCTGCTGCGCCCAGAGCAGAGCATGGTGAACAAACTCCTCGGAGGATGCTGACTGTCGGAGGAGAGCTCTTGAGGAGCGTTTCCTGCCTTTGCTCACAACTACTTCCTGCCCAGAGCTCCCAACACTTGACCCCCATTAGATTCCTTCCTCCCAGGGGAATTGGGTGGCCCTGCGAGGGCTTCACAGGTCCAGAGACCCAAGCTCCTCAGCAAGTGGAAGGAAGCAGGATCCCGGTTGTCTTGATGCCAGCCTCCTGGGGACCTGGAAGCCAGGACTTGCCCTGAATCTCCTGGGGACAGATTTTGGAGGAGGGAGCCTGAGACTGTATCTTTCTCCCTCGGGTTAGGACCAGAGCCCTACTTTCCGTCCATACTTCTAGCCAGTTTACCTTCAGCCCCCTCACCTCTAGGTGCAAACTCACATCCTTTCGCTCATTTATAGGGCACATTTTCTTCCCACAACAGAGGTTGAAGATTTCTGAAGGGAAGGGGGGGGGGGCAAATTCCTGTGCAAATTCCACAGGAAATAATCCTGAGAGATTCCTTCCCTAGAACCAACTGGGGCCTCCAACACCCTTCCTCTAAGAGCTGATCTGCATTTTCTCCCAGGTTCTGAGATGTGAGACCAGGCTTCAAGGAGAGTTTTGAGAGCCCACCAAAGGTCTGTAAAAGGAGCCAGATCTTTCTTCTTCATTTTCTAAACCTAAGCCACACCCCACAATTTGCATGGACTGTGTACTATCAATACTTAAAATGGGGAGAGACCACCCAAAACAACTCAGCTCCTCTCAGCTCAACCATGAGCCTCCTGCCCTGCCTCTAGAAGTCAGCCCTGCCCTGTTCCTTTCATAAACCCTAGGAGGTGTCCCTCCCTGCCACCACACCAACCAGGAATCCCAGACTCCTCCAGAAAAGCCACACAGGGGGCCAAGATGACCCCAGAGGAGCCTTACTCCGTTTATCTTGCCTTGCCCCTTAATCACCTGCTGGACCAGTGTTGTACATTTCACCCCACTTCCTGTAGATCCTTTAAGGCCAGGGCAGAATTCCCTTAGAGGATGAGATCTTCTCTTCCAGGAATGCTCAGCCCTGGTCCATGGGAAAAGGAAGGCCCTGTGGGTGTAGGGAGTGCAGACCTAGCTGGATGTCCTCCACTCCGAGTGCTCCAGAGCCCCCATTGTACCAAGGGCTCCCCCTGATGGGGATAGAAAAAGCCTACCAGAGGCCTGGGGGAGGGAGGGGAGGACCCTCAAGGAAACTAATGGGAGTCAAGGGCTTGCAGACCATCCTGACACTCTCCCCACCCCGCTCACACACTATGAAGAATAAATATTTATCCTTTTTTTTCAAAAATAACAAATACTGGGGCCGGCCCGGTGGCGCACTGCTACAGTGCGCCGCTTGGGAGTGCAGCAGCACTCCCGCCGAGGGTTCGGATCCCACATACAGATCGGCAGCTCACTGGCTGAGTGAGGTGCAGGCGCAACACCGAGGGTTGCGATCCCGTTGCAGGTCCCGGTCCTGTACGGGCACGACACTGAGGGTTGCGATCCGTTGCCGGTCACGAAAAAAAAGACAAAAAGGAAAAAAAAAAAAGGAGCTCTGGGGTTCTATCTCTTTTTCATTTTCCAAGCCTGTGCCACCTGTCTGGCTCATGTTGAATCGGTAGGCTGTAGGTCCCCAGCCCTACGCTGAGGCTGCTCTGAATGAAGGAGAAGCCCAAATCGCAACATCAAGTGTCAGGCCAGCCAGGGGAGAAGAGGTGAGTCCCTGACTTTATCCAAAACAGAGCCTCCTCCCATCCCCAAGCACCTGGTGCCCAGACACCACCAGCTCATCTTCAGGTCTCTTTCTCAAAACTCCTCTTCCTTTCCTTTCCTCTCTTCTCCTACTGATCCAAAAGCTAAGTCTAAGCCTGCTTTGGAGAGAGGGTGGCAAGTAGGAGGGGAGGA